TTCTTTAATTAAAGTATAGTTGATTTACAATATTGTGTATATACATACACTATATATATACACTTTTCTTTGTCAGATTCTTTTCCCTCATAGGTTATTATGAAATATCGAGTATGGTTCCCTGTGCTCTACAGGAGGCCCTTGTTGGTTATCTATTTTATATACAGTCGTGTGTATCTGTTAACCCTAACCTCCGAATTTATCCCTCCCCTCTGCATATTTTTTTTTTTTTGCGGTACGCGGGCCTCTCACTGCTGTGGCCTCTCCCGCTGCGGAGCACAGGCTCCGGACGCGCAGGCTCAGCGGCCACGGCTCACGGGCCCAGCCGCTCCGCGGCACGTGGGATCTTCCCGGACCGGGGCACGAACCCGCGTCCCCTGCATCGGCAGGCGGGCTCTCAACCACTGCGCCACCAGGGAAGCCCCCTTCTGCATATTTTTTAATTTGTGAAAAATACTGCTAAGCGCATGCAGATTCCTTCCTCTTGGATTTACACAGAGTCTCCTCGTCTCTTTACCTTGGGGAGCGGCCAAGTTTGGACCAGAAGCTGGTGTGGGTCATGCAGTCATTCAGCTTTGAGTAGAAAGAAATTTCCAAACTAAGAAATGTTGCCAGAGTCCTCACCTTGTTCTAAGTTTGGAAAGATTCACCCGTTGTTAACATCTCCCCACGTCTGCTTAACCTCTCTCTCCATGTATCATGCCGTTATTGTTGCCCAGCTGTTTCACAGAAAGTTGCATGGTGACCTTGAATACCTGGCAATATCTCCTGAAAACAAGGATTTGCATTTGCATAGCCCCTGGGCTAAGAGGGAGTTCAGAGATTATAACGTGGCTACACTTATTATCCAATCTACGCAGTCTGTATTCAAATGTCCACAATTGTCCCAGTCATCTCCCTTACAGTACCTCCTCCTCTGGTCCGGGACCTGACCCAGAGTCACACTGGGCTCTTAGTCAGCACGTGGCTGGTGAGGTCGCCACACAACGGACAGGAGGGGTCCTGCTGCTGACCCGCGGGACAAAGTCCTCCTTCCCCACCTGTGGGTTTCCTTCCCAGTGTCCAGCTCAGGTCTTTGCTCTGCGGTTGAACTCCTGGGAGTACTACAGACTGTGTCTTCCCCAGAAAGTCCTCTGGCAGTAACTTCCCCGCCCATGTCACTGACCTCACGTCATGGGCCCCCAGAGGCCTCTAGAACGGCTCGGGGTTTAGGAGTTGACAGTCAGGCTGGGGCGTGTGGGGTGAGAGGTGATGGGCTGGGGGCTGCTGGTGGGCGTGGTTTGCTGGGAGCGCTGGGCTGAGCACCTCCTGTGTGGCTGGCCCTTGCTGGGCATCAGGGAGATGTGGCTGGGAGTCCGTCTGGGTCTAGGGGACTTCATCGTCTGGTAAAGGACCCAATGGCAAACAGTGAGCCCCCCGTGACAGGAGCAAAGGGGCAATAAAGCACAGAGCTGGGGGCGGCGAGGGGGCAGCCAGGCCCTGGTCTGGGCGGAAGGCCCGACAGAGCAGCTGCAGCCTCTGCACGAAGAGTGGCCTTGGCACGTCAGGGAGGGGCTAGTGAACACCGGTGTGAACACTGGGCTGGGCGAGAGCAGTCGTGGGCTGAGAACCCGACGGCCCAGCGTCGAGGGAGGTGTCTTCCAGAACCCTCACCATACAGGCTTTCTCAGGACCAGAGTTTGGAGGCGGTGCTGGGAAGGAAGCTTGGGGCCAGGTTAGCAAAGGCTTTGATGGCAAGCAGGGGAGTATATTCTATTTACTTATTTTTTAGAAGTATTTTTTTAAGTTTTAATTTTTTTTTTTTTTTTTTTTACTTTTTTGGCCACACCTTGCGTCATGTGGGATCTTGGTTCCCCCACCAGTGATCAGACCCACATCCCCTGCATTGGAAGTGTGGAGTCTTAACCACCGGACCACCAGGGAAGTCCCAAGCCAGGGAGTTTAGATTCTACGTCTTGACTGTGGTTTCCCAAACTCCCAAGAATCCCACGTCACCCAGACAAATCTGGCCAAGTTCAAAAAGCAAACTTTCTCTTATTATCGTTTTACTACGACACATACTAGTTATTTTTTTCTACTAACATCCAAGTGTACAACATAAACACCGTCCGCCCGTGTTCCCGACGGCCACCTCAGCGCCACCAGTGGCTTTCAGACGAAGCACGGCTGCAGGCGAGGGAGCCATGGCAGGTTCTTGAGGGAGGATGGGGAGACGTCTTAGTGGTTGTATGTATGACTGTAGTGAAGCCACTTCATGCTCTGGGATTCGTGGCCTCATCTGTCAAGTGATGCGTTTAGACAACAGGATTTCTAATAAAACTGGCCTGGATGGGAAAGTTCTCTGGAGGTGGTCCTGGTCACCCCAGTAAGCTAGGAGCCTCACCAACTTGGGGCCCAGAGCCAGCGCTGGTGCCCAGAGTCCACCATGGAAGGCCTAGGCCTGGTGCCAGACTTCCACGCACCTTGAACAATGGCAGCCTTTGGTCTTGAACTCTAGGAAATGACCAGGCAATATTCCGTGTTGGGAGAGGAAAAAACTCCCCCTCCACAAAGATGATAGGGGGAGGGCTGGGGCTGGGCCTCTGGGCTGGACACACCCTCGGGTCACACTGGGAGGTAGCCTGGTCAGCTGGTCCCATCGCTGCGATGACCAGAGCTGTGTGGGGCTCACAGCGGTGACGGGTGGCTCTCCCAGAGACTGGGGACCCTGTGAAGATCTTGCCCTTGGGCACAAAGCAAGGATGCGTGAGATCGTACACATTCAGATCGGCCAGTGTGGCAACCAGATCGGAGCCAAGGTAAGGAAAGTTCGATGACTAGTGCTGGCCTTTCCATGGTCCACAGTGCAGCCAACTCAGAAAATCCCCTAAGTTAGCAGGGCGGACTGGGAGCCCAGCAGATGGAGGCGCTTGCCGGGTATCTGACTTATTAAACGACACCTGTAGTTCAAGAGACCCAGGAAATAGTAAAGGCTTAAAGGGTTAATTTAATTCACGTTAATTTTGTTGACAGTTACATGTGTATAATACACCTGTCAACCATTTTTATTCTGATCACCTTAACAATGAACTTTTCATATCTAAAACCAGGAATTGGTCTCAAAACAGTTTTCCAAAGTTTCTTGGGAAAATTTTTACACCGTATTACTAAGATATCTTTCCCTCCCCCCCATGTTTATGTTATAAAGTTAAAAAAGATCAACTATATATTTTATTTCGAATGCAACAGAAAATGAAAGAGGTAAACCTAAAAGTTTTTTGGGTCCAGCAGCAGAAATAATTAAAATATATCCTCTGGAATATAAAAGTTTTTCTCCTTCCCCCTTAAATTTTTCTAAAAAATACCTGGTACTGTTGGCCAATGCTAAAAACCAGATGCCAGAGCCCAAGGTCTCCAACCCTAATTTTAAGATGATCAGTTCTACTATATAACAACTGTCTCTTTGCTATTTTGAAATTAGTTTTACTAGTACGAATTGCATTAAAAATTTAATTGCATTAAAACTTTAAAAACTTTAAATTTAATTTTATAAAATGGTATAACATTTACCATCATAACCATGTTTAAGTGTACAGCTCAGTAATGTTAGGTATATTCACACTGTCATGCCTCCAATCTCCAAAATGCTTTTCTTCTTGCAAAACTGAAACTCGGTACCATGAAACACTAACTCCCCATTTCCCCTCCCCATGCCCCTGGCAACCGCTATTCGACTTTCTGTCTCTATGAATTTGACAGCTCTTGGTGTCTCATATAACAGTATTTGTCCTTTTGTGAGTGGCTTATTTCACTCAGCATAGTGTCCTCAGTGTCTATCCCCGTTGTAGCCTGTGTCAGAATTTCCTTCCTTTTTAAGGCTGAATAATAGTCCATCCTATAGAGAGACTGCATTCTGTTTATCCAGTCATCTGTCAATGGACACTTGGATTGTTTCCAACTTTTGGCTATTGGAACTAGTGCAGCTATGAAAAAATGAAAGTCTTTTAATACAGGTGTTTAAAACCCGGGGCAAAGAAAATGACCGCTTGCAAAGGAGGTGTCATCCTTCCTTGCCGAGTGATAAGACATTCAAAACTAAAACACACAGAGAAGTGGGAGGCATGGGCCCCAACTGCGCTGAAGTTGGAAGACAAGATGGAGAAAGGAGCCCAGGAGGGAGAGAAAGGTCTGGACAGGGTCTCAGCTCTGAATCCAGAACTGTGTTGTCTAGTGGTTTGAGGCCCAGCAACTACTTATTATTTGGGGCCATAAGAGCTTTAAGACACATTTAATTTGTGGTGTGAGAGAACTTAAATTTCTTTCTTTTCCCACACCCTGAAGAGTGCTGATAATTTACTATAAAGTAATCTTGTTCATAAGACCAAGGCCACATCAGAGCCATCACTTACAAGATGTGGCTGGGAAAACACCCTTGGGGATTTTAACATAAATGAATGTATTTTCATTGCACTTTACTATGTGCTCCTTCAGGGTAATGAAAAGGGGTTATCTCAGTAACTGTTTCCATTCCATATAAAGAGCTTGGCACCTACCTATATTAATAAATACTGTAATGTGATTGAAGTGTAGTAGGTCTCAGATAGTTACAAGAGAACAGCTATGCATAACTTTGAATTGAGTGCATACCTGATCATCCAAATGCACACAGTTTAAAAGCGTTCATAGGTGTCTTAGTGATGGGCTTTTGGGAAAACTGCATGAAAATAAATCCGCAAAGTGAAAGGGGATATTATTGTGAAATCAGATGAGAATTCAGTTTATTTTCACGTAATGGGATCTATACTTTACTAGCTGGAAGCACTGTAAGGCCAAACTAGAGATACACTTCTGATGAGAAACTCTAATAAAAGAACAGCATTAATGTACACAAGGGCCTGAATTTAATAGGAGCAAAATCCAATTTAATATTTTATGTGTTGACATTTTATTGCAGCAGTTCAGGATGACATAAAACTCAATCTTCACTTCATGGTGAGCAGAGGTAAAGAGTACGTTACGCCATGGGGTGGGCAGTTAGGAAAAGGGCCCCCAAGACCATGTTGGGGACGGAAGTGGGCCCAGGAGCCCACACTTCCTGTCTTTCTGCTCAATGTGCTGTCGCCGGCCTCGCGCTTGTCGGGGTCCCTCTGGACACTGACCTCCCCTCCTTCTGCTTTCAGTTCTGGGAGGTGATTGGCGAGGAGCATGGGATCGACTGGGCCGGAAGCTACCGTGGGGACAGCGCCCTGCAGCTGGAGAGGGTCAGCGTGTACTACAACGAGGCCCATGGTAGGACCTCGCTGTCGGCCCCCGTCACCAGCCCCAGGGACGCGGCAGAGAGGAGGTCCCGCGAGACCGGAACGCCAGATGGGGGATGTCCCGAGTGACCGAGGGCAGATAGGACTGGCCACTGAAGGGTCACTGGTCTCTGGTCACTGGAGGGGGGCACACTCTCAACACAAGCAGTTTAGGCCCCGACCTTCCTTTCTGGGTTTTATTTTATTTAATGAATTAATTTATTTTTAAAAACTTTTATTTCAGCTGCGCTGCACAGCTTGTGGGATCTTAGTTCCCTGACCGGAGACTGAACGCATGCCCTCGGCAGTGAGCGCAGCAGTCCTAACCACTGGATCACTGGGGAATTCTCCCTTTCCGGTTTTTAAATAAAAAGTAGAATCATTTCCAATAGGAACAAAATCCGTGTCACTGGCAAGACAACAAACAAAACGGACAACAATGGAAAGAGTTATTTCTGCAGCGTTCTGCAGATCTGTGTGTGATCGCTGCTGCAGTCCCAGATACGATTTCCAGTCTATCAAAGACAGCTTCTAGGAGGGCTCTCTTCTGGACCCGTGTCACAGGGTTCTACTCTGATGAAACATTAACCTTTAGAAAAACAGCAGTTGGCTGACTTCTTCCTATTTTTCCACGCAGGTAAGAAATACGTGCCCCGAGCAGTCCTGGTGGACCTGGAACCTGGGACCATGGACAGCATCCGATCCAGCCGACTGGGGGCCCTCTTCCAACCGGACAGCTTTGTCCACGGTAGGTTTTCCTGGAAGGTTCCAGCGGGGAGAGAGGGGCGCCTCCTGGTGTGTTGCTGCTGACACCCTTCCCCCGACCCCAGCGGGCTAACCGAGTCCCTTGTGCCGCAGGTAACTCTGGGGCCGGCAACAACTGGGCCAAGGGCCACTACACGGAGGGGGCCGAGCTGGTGGAGAGCGTGCTGGACGCGGTGCGCGCCGAGGCCGAGGGCTGCGACTGCCTGCAGGGCTTCCAGCTCGTGCACTCGCTGGGCGGGGGCACGGGCTCAGGGATGGGCACGCTGCTCCTGGGCAAGATCCGTGAGGAGTACCCCGACCGCATCCTCAACTCCTTCAGCGTGATGCCCTCGCCCAAGGTGTCGGACACGGTGGTGGAGCCCTACAACGCCGTGCTGTCCGTGCACCAGCTCCTGCAGAACTCGGACGCCTGCTTCTGCATCGACAACGAGGCCCTCTATGACATCTGCTTCCGCACCCTCCGGCTGGCCACGCCCACCTACGGCGACCTCAACCACCTGGTGTCCCTGACCATGAGCGGCGTCACCACGTCGCTGCGCTTCCCGGGCCAGCTCAACGCCGACCTGCGCAAGCTGGCCGTGAACATGGTGCCCTTCCCGCGCCTGCACTTTTTCATGCCCGGCTTCGCGCCGCTCACGGCCCAGGGCAGCCAGCAGTACCGCGCGCTCTCAGTGGCCGAGCTCACCCAGCAGATGTTCGACGCCCGCAACACCATGGCCGCCTGCGACCCCCGCCGCGGCCGCTACCTGACCGTGGCCTGCATCTTCCGGGGGAGGATGTCCACCAAGGAGGTGGACGCGCAGCTGCTCGCCGTGCAGACCAGGAGCAGCGGCTGCTTCGTGGAGTGGATCCCCAATAACGTCAAGGTGGCCGTGTGCGACATCCCGCCCCGGGGGCTGAGCATGGCGGCCACCTTCATCGGCAACAGCACGGCCATCCAGGAGCTGTTCAAGCGCATCTCGGAGCAGTTCACGGCCATGTTCCGCCGCAAGGCCTTCCTGCACTGGTACATGGACATCAATGAGTTTTCCGAGGCCGAGAGTAATATCCAGGATTTGGTGTCCGAGTACCAACAGCTGCAAGATGCCGCAGCAGTTCCGGAGGAGGAGGAGGTCGGGGGCGAGGCAGAAAGGGAGCCGGGAGATAAGGGACATTAACCACGAGAGAAGCTGCGCGAGGCTGGCCGCGGCGTGGAGTCATGTCCAGTGTTCTCACCTAGGATGAGTGAGCCCCCACGGCCGTCCGCGGCCGGGTCTGCACCGCAGCCCCGCGACCCACACGCAGCCGCCCAGTATTAGCTTCAACACAGGACCGCGGGTGGGGAAGGGCAGTAGGGTCTTCTGCTGGCACCGACCAGCCTTGAAGAGCTTCATATTCCCTGCCCACTCTAGTCGCTTCTTTCTAATAGCCAGGTGAATTTATGGTAAAGCGCTCCCTCTGTTTAAAGATCTGGATTGGCTATCTGCTGTATGCCGAGCACCGCGCCAGGCATCAGGGCTCCACATGTGGACGTGTGGGGAGCCACTGCAGTTGAGGTTAAATTGTAAACGCTTTAGCAACGCTGGTAAGCGTCCCGGAATCTGTACTTAGCATCCCGGGCTGCTAAAGCTCTTCCTGCAGGTTCTCTCTTAACTCGCTGCCCGCAGCCCACCTGTTCACACCTGCCGGCCTCCAGAAAAGCCAGGTGACTGCTTGGTGTGCAGGAGGTTCGCAGAGGTAAATGGGCTCCAGCGTCCACTAGTAAATTGTGGCGACCGTGTGTACGTTTCAACGTACCAACTGCAAAGGGCAAAAGGGAGGAAAGCAGAGTGGCATTCCTTCCCACAAATACCCGGGCAAAAAAATAAAAACCAAAAAACCAAAAAACAACAAGCAAAACTCGAGAACTCCAATCCTCTGACCTTTATGTCTGAAGAGCTAGCTTTTAACATAGGTGTATTTACATACTTTTAAGTTTCTTATTAATGTTTGATTCTGAGAATTCATTAATCATCATCTTTGGTTTTCCTTGTAAAGGCTATCTCGAAATGCCCTTTTCACTTTCACGTGGCGATCACCTCCTGAAAGCTCTCTGTAGACGCTCTGTTCTTTAAAAGGGCACAGGCGCGCTCGGCAACCATTCAAACGGAGGAATTAAGCAGCGGTGGCTGCAGTGTCCTTCGCAGTTACGGAGGACATCGTCTCATTAGGGAACTTTTGCAGTTCAAATTAATTTGCAGAAGTTGCCATAAATGTTTGCATGATCATGCAGCTTTAACCATTACATGATTTTAATCGGCTCACATTACAACAGGACCAGATACACAAAAGCGTAATCAGATCATCCATAACTTCTTAATTACAGTTTACCTATTCCTGACATACAGCACTGCCATCCCTTCCAGCGCCGCAAGGGTTTTAATGGCCTTCTAGAATTACCACGGAGCTGTCCTATTTGATCCATGGGTAGCTGGCGACAGGAGGATTTCCTGGATTTGCTCTGTAATCTGCAGTAATGAGGTAGCCGGTGAATGGGTGACAGCAGCTCATTTTGAGAAACTTCACTCTTTTCATGTAGTCTCATGAGGAAATAACTAAAACATGTACCAAGAGAAAATTGTCTCGCTGTTGGTATTGTGACAAGTCTTCTATTTCCAGAATTACAAAAAAAAAAAAAAAATTAAATACTTTCTACTTGTCATTCAAAAAGCACTAAAAACAAAAGTAGATTTAAAAGTAGATTTAAGGAGCTGCACCTAAACTACTCCTAGTTTGAAGTTCATAACTTCCTTAGATGCTAAAAAGACTTATAACCTGCGATTACATAAGAATTTACACACATGATTCCTCTAGCATTTTTTTTCACTTTCTCAAATCTGAAAAGGCAATTAAATAGATGCAAGAAAGGATAAAGATCTAAATTAAAAAAAAAACCCTGCTGATTTATATTACTGTAAAGATTTTTGTTTGCTCAACAGTAATCATTAAAATAAATACAATTTTAAATGGCTAAATTGCTTTATTTCAGACTAAATAAATTCCTTTTCTTGGAATTCTAACCGTCCAGACTGATTAATGTGAGTAGTTAAAAATATTTTCAGAATGCATCTCACCATCCTACTCTTTCGTATGGTAGAAATAGATTAAAAAAAAAACACCAAAAACCCCACTAGAAACCAAAAGAAATCTGTCCCCTTTGATTTTGAAGAGCCTATTCCTTTAGCTGTATGGTTGCTACAGCGACATTGGTCTCTCGGAGACCAAGATGGTAGAATCAGAATTTTAGAGCTTGTCTGATTCCTTCACTTCACACACGAGAACACTGCGTGAATGAAGAGATGGAATCCCTCACAAATCACTCAGGTGGTTAGTGAAATACCCACAACAAGATCTGATCGGGGCCCCCTGGTAATCTGGACACAGTGGTCCTGCCAGCTCCCAGCAGGGCATCACAGTATCGGTTCAGGATTTTTTCATCACAGAGAAAGAGCCTCAAAGAATCTTTACTGAGCAGTGAATCTGTCCTTTACTCAGTTGACTTTTAATCCTTTCCATACCACAAGCCCTGTCCCTAAGTCTCTCTTCTAATTATCCCATTTGCCTCCCGAATAAATGACTTATCTCTAATTGAATTGGCTGGAAAGAATTTAGCCCTTTGCCTATCAGTTACTTTATTTGCCTGGTACCAAAAAGGCCCCACGGCCTTGTGATCCATTTATTCCTGTTCCTGTAATGAAAGATGCCTCCTGGTACCTTAATTGTGGGGACCGGAAGCATGACAACTGAGGGGCCTTGACTTCAAAAGAGCAGGTCAACAGCCTGAGGCACAGGGCACAAGGGGCTCGTAGGCTGCTTCTGTCCAGCCCTGCAGCTCCTCGTGTGCCCCATGCCAAGAATGAGATAAAGCCTGTAGGTCAAGTGTCCAGGGTAGGAAGTCCTCTCCAGAAGCCAACAACAAAGGCGTTTTCTTGCCCTCATCCTTGGCATGGCAGAGTGGCCGTGATAAATTATTGTTAGCTTAAGTACCAAGCTGAGAACCTGTCCTGGGGCAGAAGCTAAACCGGTATTTCAACATTTCCTGTTCAAGTGTATCTCTCCATCTCCAGAAGTGGGTAAAAATCAAGCAGTTAACTTTGCAACTTTGTAAACTTTGGGGTTTTACTCAGCTGAGTGCCTTCAAGTTTCAAAGAAAGAGAAAAACACCCCACTGGCAACAATTCTTCAACCCTAAATATTTAACAGGTAAATGAATCACCGTGAAAACACCATGGACCTGCTGTCATTATCATGCCCTAGACCTGCAGTCCAGAAGCTTAGATTTTCACGTCAGCTCGGTCAGCAGCTCGGTAAGCATGCTGCTGAGCGGCTTTGCCTCCTTTCCTATGAGAAGTTCTCCCAGAATATAAAGATTCACTTATAAGACAATGTGAAAAGTATCTTGTGCTCAGCGAATTTCGACAAGAGTACTTCTCTATAGCTTTGAAGTGCACGATAGAAAATGAATACTACAATTTAGCATTTCTTCTCATCTACGCTTTCCATTATTACTCGCACTCAGCCTGCTGAGTGGCACCACCTGGATACGGCTGCCGGCGCAAAGGACAAAGGACGAGGCCAGCAGACAACCCGGCCCACCCCCGACCCCAACCCACTGCTCTGACATGACGTCTGCAATTCAAAGATAAGGGGCAAGACAGCCTCAATGACGGGGCCCAATTCTGTCAATTATGTCACGAAAAAGAGAACCTTTTCTTTTGAGACGTTTTCAAAATGTCTCCTGGATCCCTCTGGTCACTAGATATGATATCTGTTCTCCCTTTAACTTTTTTTTCTTTTTTTCAGCTGTGCGTCTTACAGGATCTTAGTTCACTGACCAGGGATCGAACCCGTGCCCCGTGCAGTGGAAGCTCGGAGTCCTAACCACTGGACCACCAGGGAATTCACTGTTCTCCTTTAAAAAGCCCTGGTTCATATGATCATAATCCTGCAGTTGTGTGGTAGTTCCCAAACAGAAAAAGTCTGAGAGAAACCAAAAACCAACAGCAAGAGTGAACTGTACTTTAATTTATTGGCATTGTCAATCTATGAACAAGACAGGTTGTTTTTTTTTTCTCACGAAGGGGGATCGTTTTCAATCTGCCATAACACGTGCCCACACATCTTCACCATGAACATGCAGCATTTCAAGCTGTAGTCAGGGTCTAGGAGGAAAAGAGAAACAGCAAGTTGCCAGTCCTTCATGTTTTCTTAAAAATCCAACACGAATAGGGAAAGTAACTTCCTTATAATGAGCAGTATAATATGACTGCAGATCCAGTTCACTCGGTTGGTGATAAACCCTGGCTCTCAGCTGTAAAAAGTGCAGGTTCATGTGCACTGCCTTAGCCGAAGAGGCACTTCCCTGCTAAGTAAAACCAAACACCCTCCCTGCAATAAAGAAACACTCTGCCTTTAAAAGACGCTAAATCCCCTATGCTGAGGCGGTGGGGCTGCGTCCCCAGCACGACGGGTAGAGGATGGTCACTGCTCTGCTTACCGGAGCTGGACACTACCACCTCCTGGCCCCAAGGACATTACAAGGTGCAGGGAGCTCGATGCAGAGTCTGGCTCGGCCACGCTGCAGGCACAGGCTGGGTGATTTTTCTCAGTTAGCTCGTTGTTAAAACAAAACAACCCAACCTAAAACCAGGTCTCATTCCTCAGAATTATGAGATCAGACAGAGCCCCAGAAAAAGGGCTCAGCACCGCACCTCCAGACTTGTAATAAAATATTTACTAATTCAAAATGAAAATGAAAAGTGCTTAGGGGAGACAGTTCCAATAAGTAAAATCGTTCATAACCACAAGCTGCCAAAGGATTACTATTTATCACATTTCCCTGCAACTGCAGGTCTGAAGCTTTTTTAAAGCTAAACAAGAAAATTAAATCTGAAAAACAGCTTTCTGGTAATTTGCCTCGCTTGATCTTCGAAATAATAATGTCAAGAAAGCAGTTTAGAGATCAAATCACTTTAATAGTTTGGAACACAAAAGTCTGAACTTATCAACTGTACGAAACTGCCTTACTTTGCATTGCCAACATCAGAAGTAAAATGAACGAAACTCTGAAAACATAAATTTAGCAAAACAGTATTCACTGCAGGGTCTTGCCGATTTTACTGCTTGATAAAAAAGGAGG